TGGTATAGCAGGGGGGCACAGAGGAGTAGGTGCCACATGCGCGAAGATAAGCGAGCTCTACCATTGGGACGGGATGCTGACAATGGTTATCAAATATTGCCGGTCCTGTATACCTTGCCAAGAGAGGTCAGCGCAAAGACCTGGAGAACCCCTACACCCAAGGTTAGAAAGGGAAGTGGGTGCGGTCGTACACCTGGACCTGTTATTCATGCCAGCATGGGAGAATGGGTGTAACTACATCTTCGATGCACGGGATAACCTTACTGGGTTTGTGGACGGACGAGCTATCCGGACAAAGACTGGCCCGGTTTTGGCGAACTGCATCGAGAAGTATTACCTGCAATATCCTTTTGTCAAGGAGTTCGTGATGGATCGAGGATCAGAGTTTACCTGCAATGAGGTGAGGACGTTGCTTGCAGGGTATGGCGTAGTGGTCAACTATACTACGGTCGCGCACCCTCAAGCGAACGCTCCTGTGGAGAGGGGGCACAGTACCATCACGAATCTCCTTGCTAAGTGGACAGAGGGCAAGCCTGGTCAGTGGCCAAAGTTCATGCGGGCAGCTTTCTTCGTGGAGAATGTTACTGTAAAGAGGACAACCAAGTACGCGCCAGCCACACTATGGTATGGGAGGCACGCCACCTTTCCCATAGAAAGCTTTATGAAGACGTGGAGGCGCCAAGACTTGGAAGTAAACCTGTCCTTCGAAGAACTGCTCGATATTCGGACGCGGCAAGTGGGGGCGGCCAAGGAAAGATTGCGAGAGGCCACTGGTCAGGTAGAAAGGAGCCGCATGGAAGACAAGCATGTGTGTTGTCATAAGAACTTGATGAACCGAGGGCTAACCTTGTTGTGTGCCTGCTTGCTTTCTCTCGCCTGTTGTGCAGGTCTGACTTTTCGAAGACAGCCATGCAGAGAGGCGGGAGGGGCGCGTGGCCACGACAGAGGCCTCAGGGAGCATCAGGAGGGGATGACTCGCACAGACCGGTTGGGAGGGAGTCCACGCCTATCTTCGATGACGATAACATAGAGTTTTTTCTGGACTCCTACCAGGCACATGCGGCACGGGAGGGCTGGTCTACCTTGGAGAGGATACGGCACCTGAGGGGAGTTGCGCGTTTCGAGGAGCCTATTGCGCACATTCGAGAGGAGGCATTGACCTGGCAGGATGTGGAGGCAAGGATGCAGACGTTAAGGGCTTCGCCGTTGGGACCAGATGGGCTGCCTATTCGGTTGGAGGAAGGCAATGCGGAGGATTTTATCCCTGCCTATGAGCAGTATATGCGCGACCAGGGGACTGGGCAGGAGGAGTGGATGCAGACGCTGCCCCTCTGGACGCGGAGGGCGGAGAGGCCGTTGGCGAGGCAGATCCGGGACAGGGCTCGTGACTGGGAGGACTGCCAGGACCAGTTAAGACAGGCATTTCGACGACTGGAACCCGAGAGACCAGAGCCCAGGGTGGAGAGACGACAGAGGAGTAAGAGGCCACGGGGCCCAGAGGCGAGAGGGGCCACTACAGCCAGGGGGGGCCGAAAGGCCTTAGCACAGCGAGAGGGGCCAACAGAGGCCGCCCAGGCGGTGGAGCCGGTTCAGGCCGCGGGGCCAGCTTAGGCGGCGGAGTTACCCCCTACCCATGGACTCGAGCGGGTGGAGTTTCGCCGAATCACAGTGTCGGGGCAGAAACCCTGACAAGGGTATCTGCCCGTGTTTTTCAACGTCGGACGCTGTCTGACCTTTTCGCCAAATTGGAGGACTTGATGAGATTGATGTTGCCAAAGTTTATTCAGACCGGCGCTATGACTGAGAGACTTAAACTTTTTTGAACCTGACATCGTCGACGCAGGACGACATCGACATCCGTGCGGGATAGCGGTTGTCGGCACTGCCGTCCGCGATTTTCGACGAGGCTGTACTGGCGTGCGGTCGTGGGAAAACCAAAGTTGAGCCTACCCTACCTATAACAGTCGTGCGATTCATGGCCTAAGTGGGCCAAAAAGGGGACCTCGGCGTGAAGGAATGGCTTAGGGTCCATAGGACTTATGCGCCGAGGACCCGGGGGCGAAGGCGTCGGGGCCAGCTGGGTAGGGCAGACGTCAAGGCTGTCGGCTGTCGACCCCGCCGGCCAGCCACGGCAGCAAGCCGGCTTAGCAGGCATAGCCTGCTAGGCGCTAGGAAGGGGGTCTGCTGCGCACCAGAAGCCCTTCATATAGAAGGGCCACTCCTTTTCTGATGTGAAAATGAGCTAGCCCAGTAGGTACCGTCGTTTGATTACCACCCCGCAGACATGGGGATCAAACCTGACCAGCGCACTACCGGGCTAGCTCCTTTTGGAGCAGCCCGTGACTTGACAAGGGGTGCGGCCGATTTTTGGCCGTGCGATCTTCGGGATCGCACGACTGAAATCAGCCGCGCCGGGGTGATATGGCCCCTGAACGAGGATGACATACATAAATCGAGAAATGGTAAAATTTAAATTTTTATTTTGGAAAAAAAAAAAAAAAAAAAAAAAAACCTTACCTGTTCTATAGCTGGACGCTTAAGCGCCCAGGTACGGGCTCTGCAAAGGTTGATCGAACCACGAGGTAAGTCGGGTTCTTTTCCTTTTTTGGTTTTTTATTTTTTTCTTTTGTTTTGGTTGCCACTAGGGCAAAACGGCACGGGAAGTGGCCGTTGAAAAAAAAAAAACTAAAAACTAAGAACTAAGCGTCATGTGGCGCAGAGTGAACTGTTAGGGGCACTTCAGCCCCAGGGAACGTGACAGCGCCCGTAGGAAACGGGCAACCATTTCGACATTGAGGTAAGTGTTTTCATTTTTTTTTTTTTCTTTCTTTTTCTTTTTAGATCTTCTTAGATTTTTTTCTCAGATTTGTTTTAGATTTTCCTAGTTAGATTTCTTTTAGATTCCGTTGTTTTCTTTTTTTTTGATAAGTAAGTGCCCGTTCGTTTTTGACGACCGGGCTAACACTTAAGGCACGACTGTGCCAGACTGTTCCATTTGACTTCCACTGACTCAGGGCACGAAGTGCCCGACGGTTTCGTCGGAGTCGCGCCGACTTATCAGGGGGCTGTGCCCCCAACAGCTCATCTTTGGATGAGCAATATCGAATGAATTTGTCGCCCGTGGGCGGCTAAGTTCGGTTATAGAGAGAGAGAGAGAGAAAGGGACCAACTTACCTGCGCCCGTTGGATGTAGGAACGGGCTGCAGTGTTTGCTGGCGCGCCCGAACTTGGCACTGAAAGCGTCCGGGTACGGGCGTGAGGCAAAGGGGGAAAAAAAGACCCTGTTGAGCTTGACTCTAGTCCGACTCTGTGAAATGACTTGGGGGGTTGATGTGCTCGTTCGTTTTTAAACGACGAGCTGCCCCTACTGTAGAAAAACAAACAAAAAGAAAAAAAAAAGAGGGGGGAAGTTAAAAAAAAAAAAGGGAAACTGTCGTGGATCTAACCGCGGCCTCGGTCCAGATGCAAGTTTAGAAGCATCTGGACTATGGATAGATAGCAGACTGTTCATGTCAACAGTCTGCTTGAAAATGGTTGAGTACAGCCGTTTCTGGGCTGCGTCTGGCCGCGGGTGAAGGCCAGATGCATTACCAGGGTTCAGAACTTGGTTCCCCTATGGGAACATCAAGTTCCCTGGCCCTTGATCGCAATTTTGATCCAGGGCCAGGCTCTGTTCCGGGATTTGGTTGGGGGCAAAGCAGTTGTCCTCAGCCTTCAGCCAGCTATAAAAGCTAGCCTGCCACCCAGCAGCCTCACACTTGTGGCAATGCTGCTGGGGCATTCTACTTGAGTAGATGCTGGCTGGCTGGCTGCCGGTGTGATGAGGCGAAGTGTTGGAGGTCTGCAGAAGCACTTGGAGGGAGGAGGAGGCAGCCATAGCTAGAGGTTGGGAGCTTCTTGCCCCACCTCTTGTGCTGTGCTGCAGGCTGTGGAGGAGCCATAGCCGTAAGGCTGCTGTTGGATTGGGCCGTGCAGCAACAAATTTTCTTGAGTAGGACGCCGCATCGCTGTACCCTTGGGCGGAAGTGCTACCGAAATTGTGCAGCGGGAGCGTTGGTTTTCTTGGCAGTACGGCGAAAGCGCTGCCGAATTCTTGCGGCGGCAGCACCGGTTTTCTTGGCGATGCGGCGAAAGAGCTGCTAAATTATTGCGGCGACAGCACCGGTTTTCTTGGCGGTGCGGCGGAAGCGCTGCCGAATTCTTGCAGCGGCAGCACCCATTTTCTTGGCAGTACGGCGAGGGTGCTGTCGGATTTTGTGGCAACAGTATTTTGCACAGGATTGCGAGAAGGGGGATTGGGCGTTGCCGCAGGGACGGTACCGCCAAGGTGGAAGTGCACCTTGGAATAGAAAGGGTGTGGCAATCGTCTCGTTGAAGGCGTTGCGGCACGCGGCACTTGTAAGAATTGCTGAGGCCGTTGTTATTTTTTTGCGGCATACCGAGTAAGCGGGGATTGGGTCCGGAACCACCAAGTATTGCGGCAGGCAGGTGGTGACCTGACTTGGTATTTGGTGGGTTGAATTGGCGCTGTTTTGGTGGAAGGTGTGACGTTGAGGCTGTGGGATTTGAGAGTGGGACACTCTCCTCAACGGCGAGCTCGCTTCTGTGTTGGTGAGCGGCATCTGAGTCAGTGGTGACACTTGAAGGAGGGTGTGGCTCGTCCTTGAAAACGGCCACAGCGAAGGTCGTGAGGCCGAACTTTTCTTGAGAAAATAACCGGCTTTCTTGAGTGACCCTTCATAAAATTCACTCAAGGTCAGTGCGACTCAGTTCCTTTGCACACCCTCGTGAACCCACACCTTGTATGACCTTGTTTTGAATTCAGGGGAAGAGGTAGAGTAAGAGTGTGAAGTCATGCGTGTGAAGAAAGGGCTGACTTGTTTTGGGGATGGATGAATCTCTGGATTGTTTTTTTCTTGATTGTGCAGGTAGGTTGGGAGATGCATGTGAGAAGGAATTAGCATTGTTTGCTCGAGATAATAATGGGGATGCTTACCTCTCTCCCACTCAACCTGAATGCATGTGACAGAAACAAAAATAATAATGGAAGTGCGGACGGACAGGTGCCGAAAGAATGAAGGCCGTGGGAAAATTAAAAGAAAAGAAGACAAGGGAACACCTTAGTATCTTCCCAAGGATTTCCCCATTCTATCCCGAACGACCACTATCCTTCTATGCCCGTCCAAAATATCTTACTTCTTTCTCTTCTCAATTCGTCTAAGTCGACCCTTAGCCGGGAAGGCATAGAGCGGTCGTCTGCACCTAGGGTCTAGGCTTCTTCTCTCTAGGAGGCATCTGAGGCGGGGGTTCGTTGCCTTAGGGGCCGGCCCTGTTATCGACTCGAAGCGGACCGTTTTTGTGGGGGGATACCATGCTGTTGCGGTGGAGTCAGCCCAAGTTCTGAGTCCTGAACAATGTGTTCGGGCGAGGGGGAGGGGTATTCCAAACCACTTCCTAGAGGGTAGGGTGTCTTAAAGCTAGGGGTTGTCGCCTCCTCGTGCTTTCAGGGAAAGGGGAGGTTGAATCTAGTACCCGGCCGGGTGGTAGGAGGGTTGGCGCCACAAGAAGCCCAGCCCGTGATTCAACTAGTGTTAACGAGAGTGCAAATAGGCACTACTCTCGCGATCGGACCGTGACACAAGAATCATGGCCCGAAAAGGGGAGTGAAGATTGAACATGAAAGTGGGTATGTCTGAATTATTTTGACAAGAGTTACCGCTTCGCCATTCAGATGCTTGTGGAGACAGCGGTGCCGACACGATCCCACGCCGGCATGATACGGAAAGGAAGGCTGGTGTACAACCCACTTAAAGTTTACTCGGAATGGGATGCGTCGCGATTATGGGACGGAAGCGTGAGGAAACCACCGTGGAGTTATGTTTTCTTGGTTGAGCCAGGCCAGCGTATTGTGCGATATGATTTTGCGCCTCCTAATCCATCACGAGATTATGGAGACATGAACCTAGTTGTGGTTCACGAGGATTTTTCGGGAGTAGAGAACATTCCTGAGGTTAGGGGGATGTTCCTCCATATTGTACTCCATTTGAACGATTTGCAAGGTCCGTTCGGCCTCCTTCATCACGTGAGACGGGTCCGAGCGAATAGATTTAATATCATTCGCTCGGAACGTTTTGACGTCACCGCGTCTTATGACGAGGCTTGTGAAATTTACGAGCGCCTCTTCTAACAGGTGGCTTCTTCGGTGTGTAGATGCCTAGCGGACGGCGAGACTTCACTCAGGCCAGATATCTACTGATTCGCGACACTACGGACGAGGAGCTGATCCGGCGAGCAGAGTGATTATTACTAGTTCGGGGTGGAGCGCCCACGCGATGGATTGGTTTTATCGGCCTGCTCAGTGGTGGGCAGGGATTCTTTCCTAACTCGCGCGCGGATGTTCGCGCCAATGTGGCCCGACTTCGGGACGAAGTTCATGGATACACCTTGTACTTCCATCGCGCAAGCGACCTCCAATGCCTTTCTCGGGTCATTGTGAGCGTCAAAATTACCCTATCCGGGGAGCGCTATGACGTCATTCGGATCAAAGAAACCACTACCACGCACCTGTTTCGGATGCGTCAACCGTTTCGCGCCATAGTTTGGAGGCTCGCCTCACGGGTGGCTTCTCTCTATGATACGCGGAAGGTCCGAGTCGTGCGAGGTGGACGTGTCTCCACCTTGATTTTTGACGACGAGGAGCTTACACGACTCGACCGGATAGAGGCCGAGGCCCGTGAGGGCCGACAGTTTTATCCTGGCTGAGCGCACCCTCTCGAGTCAGGTGCAGGTAAGTTGTTCTTTTGTAGGGCCACATCTACGTGACTCTACAAGGGTAATAATAACAAAAAAAAACAACAATCTTGCGTAGGTAAGCCAACCAGATGGATAGTATCTGGATCACCCCGATGATGGCACTATCATGCTTATGCATTGAGGGGTAATCGATCGTTGAAGAATGAGCCGAGCAAAATGAAAACCGAACACCTGAGAAGGTGTTGAGCTAAAGGGCGAGGGCGGAGTATCAGGAGATGAAACATCTCCATACCAAGTATCTGGTGTTGGAGATGGGTACTTCGTCATTCGTGGAACGGTGAGAGTAATTATTGCCTAGGAGGATAAATTGACCGACAAAATTGTCAGTCGCTCCTCCGAGTAGATGTATGTGGTACGACAATATGGTCGAACCGGGAGTTCAAACATCGACTAGGAGCCAGATCACTTGTTGATCTGCATGGTACCAGCGGTATTTACTTGTAAAAGTTGTGCGCGACGGATCTTCCGTCTTCGGACGGCAGTACAATTGTCTCTTCGGTCATGTAGGCAGGAAATGATAACCTTGACAGACCATCTCATCAAGTCGAAATGTTGTTTATGTATTGGTTTTATTCATTTTATGAGTAGGGGATTGTAAAGGGACTAGGATTATATGTTGGGTTTCACGTTTGGTCGAGGCCGTCCTAGTCGACCGACGCTCGTTCGTACCGAGGAGATCAGCGCCCTCGGGAACGGACAACGTTCGGGTCCACTTGGCGTTAACCAAGCGTACCTATACTCCAGCGCGCGAGCAAACGCCCTCGGCTGACCTACCTTTGCAATTGCATGTAAAAACTTTCGCACGTGGGTCAGTAGCTCGGTAGGGATACGCCCCTAAGGGTGGTGACAGCCCCTCAGGGAAAGTAAGTTGTGCCCCGCGAAAACCTATCCTGTCGTAGGGGATCGCGGGATGTATAGCTGGCGCACCCGACTAGAGCGGCGAATGGACAATGCAACCACGTTCGTTTCGGCGGTTCGCGGGATTATTTCTGCATCGTCCTAAGTTGTCTCTTGATTTTGTTATGTTCTAACTCTTGCGTGACATAGCCGGGAGGGCCCTCGCTCACGCGGGGGCCGATGCGCTCGACAACGGACAGTGATCTACGGGGTCCGTCGCCGACGTTACCAGAGGGTGGATAAGCAGTGCCATTGAGGACGCCGCTCGATAGGTTGGAGGCTCATCTCGATGCGTCCCAATGGGGGGCATCACAGTTGGGAGCAGACCAGAGCGGACCGGCACGGTATGAGCCAGTAGAGGATGAGCCAGAGGAGGAGCCACCTGAGCCAGGGCCCGAGGCGGGGTCTCGTGGGCCCGAGGAGCCGCAGACTGAGGGGGTTATCACGGTTGGGGATGATACCCCTCCCCCTGCCCCGATTCCGGAGCAGACGCGGCAGTATTGGCCTGAAGGGATTCCTGAGCCGAACAGTGAGGAGATGTTGGGGCCTCCATCGGAAGCTATTACGCCACCCCCGACGCAGGCGGAGCCAGAGGAGGGCGAGAGGGCGAGGACACCTACTACTGTGGCGCCGGAACTAACTGAGCCTACATGTGCACGCATGGATGTGGAGGTGCCGACCTCCGGGGAGCCTCCGCCACGGCCGCCACCCACAGAGGAGGGGACGAGTGAGAGAGACCCACTGCGAGAGGCCCATGAGGCACGGGCAAGGAGGCCATCAGGGGAGACGAAAGAAGAGAAGCGCGTGAGGGTGCAGGTACGCCTCGAGGAGTTATACCAGGAGAAGATTAGGATGGAGGCCGCAGGAGAAGCGCCGAAGCCACCGATTGACCCTCCGACGAGCGAGCAGAGGATTAGCGAGGCCTGAGCCAGCTATGAGGGTGAGAGGGATGCTGCTCGCCTGAGGTCACGAGGGGTGGGACAGGAGAATGTGAGGGTGGATGAGGCACGAGAGACAGGGGACTTGGGACTTTCAGCCGCCAGGATGGAGATTGAGCATGCAGATAGGAGGATAGGTGAGGTGGCGATCTCATCCTTCCAACGGTACTCCATGCTCAGCGATGAGTTGGCGGCCTCGAGGTTAAAGGTGGGACAGTTGTCCACCCAGTTGGCAGAAGAGAGGGCAGAGAACCAAGCATGGAGGTCCCGTATGGAAGTCAAGGAAGTGGAATGGGAGAAGAGGCTCCAGGACATGGCGGCAATGGTAGAGAGGCTCTCGGCCACTAAGGTGGTCGACTGGACGGAGCAGAGTCGGTATGGTATCCAAGGGAAGGAGGTACAGGGGCTCTTTGACCAGGAAGGAACGACAGAGACGCCACAGCAAGAGGGAATGGGAAAGGTATTCCTGGACCCAACAGAGGCGGCGGCAAGGCGGGAGGCCGAGGAGAGGAGGTTCAGCTTCAGGACTCCCACGGAGTTGGCCTCGCAACAGGCCACCGCTATGACGATTGAGGTTCCTGGGGACGAGTCGGCATATAGACCCCAACCTCCAGTGGCGGAGGGGGACCCCACAGAGGAGTCCCCTACAATCCTTTTGGAGGTGCAAGAGGGTGCCCTTACGGGAGCAGCAGCATCCACTGAACCGGAGGTGATGGGGGGAGAGGCGTCTCGACTGGACGAGTTGGTGGCAACCATGGAGCTGGACATGTCGTCAGGAGGGCCTCAGAGGCAGGAGACCCCGAAGCGCGTGCCAGAGATAGGGGAGCTGAGGACGCAGTTAGGCTCTTGGGCTACTGGAGCTGACTCAGGAGAGCACATCTCAGAGCTGCAGCAGGAAGTTATGAGCGAGCCAGCGACTGTCGTGACTTCCCAGCCTTCTTACCTGCATGGGGATGAGGGGGCGACTGCGATGGGAGGAGTCCGCGAGGGTAGGCCACCGAGATTGGACACTCCAGTGTACCGACCCAAGGGAGATGAGATGCTAGCAGGGCCGAGTACCCAGATGATGGAGGCAGGACCGACAGAGTCATGGAGTATGCCCCAGAGCCACGAGATGAGCAGGAAAACTAGTGAGACGTCGTCGTTGCCTGGGTCCCAGAAGAAGAAGAGGAGGTATCGGAGGAGATCAGACGATCAATTTTTCTTCTGCAAGGACGGCGTACATAGGGCTCTTGAATGCCCAAAGTTCCTTAAGGACAAGGCGGCTGGGAGAGTGGCAGAGAGTGGTGGGAGGATGTACGACAGACAAGGGCGAGTGGTAGCGCGGACTCCAGATGGGGGTAGGGCACAATTGTATAGACAGAACCAAGAGGCCATGAGTGAGTAGGGGCTGGCCTGTCTATATGACAGTAGGACTAGAGCTCCTCTGTACCCAGAGGTAAGGTTAGGGATGTACGTACTCTGAGTCGGTTGAGTGGGTCCTAAGGGGTGTGCACGTCTGAGTTCGTCGTGGGAGTCTTGTCTATTTGTACATACATAGGTGGCAGGGCTCAATCGGTCATTGGGTTTTGTGTGTGATACAGTTCAGCGGATGAGATTCAGTTGTGAGATACCTGTGACTGTGTGATTTGTACATTAGGTTTGGAGGTTTGGAAACCTTCTTTACATTTCTGATTGGATCCTGAGAGTCATAACATCTGGGGGTGTGAGTCCACCCTGTAGAGTGTACAGGGAAATGAGTGCTGAGTTATTCACTGGGCGGGCATCCTATTCCTAGGTATATCCTAGAAATTGTGTGTATGAGAGTTTGAGTTGAGTGTTGTATTGAGACTTGAGGGAGATATTTTGCTCCCGAGTATATTTTGATTCCACCCTCTGTGGGATTTACTCTTGTGACGATCATGATCACTCTCACATGTGTGGCTTTATCCCAATGAATGAGGGTTTTATGTGAGAGATGTGTGGGATACATCTCATGTATGTGTATTGTGTGAGTGTGATTGCCGTCTACTTTTCGGTATACTCGTGCGGCCTGCCCATGGGCGGGTGAAATGACCGAGTATAAGGGGAGGCAGCGCGGCTGTTTGGTGACAGATGTGTGAGGACCCCAAGGGGTCTTGCGAGCCTATAAGACTCGAATGCTTACCATGCCGGATGTTTATGGCTAAGTTGTAAAARGGACCCATAAGTTGGTCYCCCGGTTCGAGTTGTTTTGCGTACGAGTTGACAAAGAGGACCCTTAAGTAGGCGCTCAGTGAGTTGCTCTATGGTGGAGGCCCCCTTCAGATTATGGAGGGTGGGAATGYTGRTTATTGACGSTTATATAAYCGAGGTCGYGTGATAGTCCATCCTATGAGAAGAGAGGGATGACTGGGAGACCTATTAAGAGAGACCCCCTTCATGTGAAAAGTGGGTAATGGATTTACTGACATGGTAAGCAATGTTTTAGTGATAAAGTCTGACGAGAAGAACCAGGGTTACAAGTTGGAACCATTGGTGGAACCGAGAAGATCGCAAGTCAGTGCATAAAAATGTCATGGGATATGTGGTCTGCTGCCTCTGATCAAGTCAAGTAGGYCACGGCCTGGTGTGAGCCTAGCGGTGAATYTGTTTGTGATTGTGAAAAGGAGGYCACGCTTCCTATGTATCCCATAGGGAGTTGATGTTCGCTTTTAAAGTGAGACAGACCCCTGCGTAGTCCCGCAGTGGGCCTGTGATCTGTTTTGCGACGCACCATCTAGACACCTGTGCTAATCCTAAGGCATATTGAGGAATATCAAGCTAGACGGTAAAGGCTAACACCCCGAAGGCGCAACCCCTATTGGATGGCTGCAAATCAGCACAACCTGGCTGTGGGCCCACGTCTACCAGCAGAGTAAGAGTTTAAGAGGTTATGCACGCCCCAAGGAAATTACTCTGGTGGAATGGCGGGGGATACGAGTCGAGTCGTTTGGGCGCCCTGATTGAATGGCTATCAGGAGAAAACCAATCGTTGCATAACCAACGAAGGGACTGGCGCTAAGATAACAATGTGGTAGGTCGTAGATCTGGCTCGATCAACCAGACTATGGTGGGCCAGGATGGAGACCTAGCGTTTCTGTACTAGACTGTAGAAAGAGCTGAGAGGAGATCTACGTATATATATATATATGTTTGATTGTGAGGATTTTTCACGGGGGAGGCGAGAGTGCCTTCTGAGGTCTCGTCTAAGGCCCGCGTCCCCGTATGACTCTGCTTGTAAGAGAGAGTCTAACTGGGACACCTAACGAAAAGTCGGCGTTTGTCTAGGACGAAGAGGAGAGGACGGTTTGAGGTGGCCTTTGGAACTTATGCTGTAGTATTGATGCGTAATACACCTGCGTCCTAGTGTCAGGACAACGGAAACCCAGGTTGAAACCCTGGCAGCATATAGTTATGTCGGCATGGAGTGTTGGAGGCCTCAACCCTGAGTCTGWCGGCGAATCGGAATTGGTTCCGCTCTCGTCAGCATTTGGAGTGTGAATGAGTTTGTAGCTTTCTRATTTGGCGTAGCGACGGGGACGTCGCTTAATATAGTCCGGTAGGCTGTCGGCGCGAATACCCTTGCAAGGGTATCCGCCCTGGTTTTTGCAAATGACASAAAAATGGGTTCGGTCGGCATAAGTCGGGCGAGGTACGRCCTCGCCCGGGACCCGTCCTGACTAAGTTAGAGGGTATGTGGGCGCGCAGTTTTAGGGCGCGCGTGTGATTTTTCTGATTGAGTGAGCGGCCGGTCTAGTCGACCGACCTGGACCGAGCTACGGTTTTGTTTAGGGGATGAAAGCTCGTTTTTGGGTGGTGTGCGTGACCGACGGTGGGAYTGGCACGCCACTAGGCACATGGGGTGGTGACGGCGCGGTCCGAGTAGGCCGGTGCGGGTACCTAGTGTTGGCGCGCCGGTTGCAGGTGGGAAAGGAGGGCCTAGGCTGTTTTCCCCAGGCCTAGGCACGGCGCGGCACCGCTTCACACTGAAGTTCGTGCTTTGCTGTACCAGGCTTGGGCTTAGTCCTATAGGTTATGGTGTCAGGTTATTGCCATGGAGGTACGGGGATCGAGGCCAGCAGGCGTCGGCGCAGGAGCAGCGAAGCAACACGGAAGAATCCRAGGGGTTGAGGGTCTGACGAGGCTATCCCCCTCGGTTTTGATGGCATGCGCGACRCCGGGCCCGACCCACGGGGCCGGCGAGGTGCCAGCAGCCCCCCCCATACTCTAGTTATCTACCTTTATTTTTCTCTGTTTTTATTATTTATTCATAGCCGCTTCGTTTGGGACGCGGSACTRTGGTTGGTGATGGGCCCCAAGAGCCTGGCTCAGTGGGTACATCCATGAACTGTTGAAACTCAGACCCAGACGATRGAACTCAGTGGGTAAGGCCRGAAGTTCTGGSTTGCCTGGGGCCGGCCAGGCTSTGAGGGACCGTGGGGGGTTGCACARGGGTTCRAAGTGAACCCGGAYGCGGGTCGCGCCAGGTGCGTACGAGCTAAGGAGGGCGGAGTGGGCAGTGAGGCCGGGCGGCCGTTGGTACTGCCTCGGGGTACCACCGCGGCTAGGTCCTTTGGGGCATCCGCCAAAAAGAAATTTGGAACGACACGAGGAAAATCTGCTCGGCCCCGGCGCAAGCCTGACAGGCATAAATCCRGGGAGGATCGCGCGGAGTCTGTTTTTGACTCGTTCGTTCCTCCGACTTAACGACCGGRGCCCGTTACTATCCGGCCGACTGTTGTTGAGAAACGCTGCGGGATCATCYAGGCGAAAGGGGTGACGGCGCGAGCGGCACTGGAGGGATGAGCCTGGGTGGAAGGTGACGCCAAGTGCATTCGAGGAAGCCGGTGGAGTAGGTAGCRRSCTTGGTGCCGCGGTGGGAGAGACGTAGGACAGGGGCATCGAGTCAACCGTGCGGCTGGTGATGGGCAGCGGCGAAGAGGCGTTGGGGAGGCGACGGGCATAGCGAGGCAGCAGCGGGGGCGAGTGAACTGGGACGGTATCTGGCGCGGGTACATGCGGGAAAGAAGACCAAACCAGGGTGAACTGTTGAAGCGGAGTGCGGAGGTAGCGAGAGGGCGAAGCCAGGTAGTGGAGCTGAGGGAGTGGCTGAAAGCAGCAGCGTGAGGGGAATAAAGGAGACGAACTCGGCGCGAAATTGCGCCAGATACGTGTATGGGGTTTTTGGGGATGGCGGAGGAGCGAGGCATGGCGCAACACAGAACGGGCAGCGCAAGCAATCCGAGATTAAGATGGTCAAGTGAAGAAGGGATTTCGGGGTTCTTAGGGATGGCGAACGTGATGATGGTGTTAGTTTCAGTGATAAGTTAGTAGAACGGGAAGTTAGAAAGGACGTTAGTGCGTGGGCGATGGCGGAGGCAAGGAAGGAGTAACGTGGGAAACCCATATCGGTCGCGATTCCGAATGGATTTCAGAGGGATAAAAGCCGAATCCAGGGGTCTTTGATAGGGCGAGTTAGACTGTGCGGTTAGAATTGGCAGTGGCACAGTAGTTTTGGTGGTATATAGCTTAGAGCTTGCGTGAAGGGGGAGAGGTTATGAAAAAGGAATGAACCTACCCGTATTGTTGCGAAAGATCCATTCCGATTTTGCTCGTTTTGACGATAGAAGCAACGACAGGCCCTCTCTCTGCGCGCAGGGTCGGGAAAGCAGTGTGTGCCCCTACGTTCTTGCGGAGGATTCCTTCTCATTTTTTCTTTTTTTGTTTTTTTGCGCTCTGGTAGGCCGCCCATCGTTGCCATCAAGGTTGCTTGTCTTGTTGCTCACGGTGGTCGCTTCCATCGTCCATGCGAGCCGCTCACACCTGAGCGAGGGTGCCGGTATATCGTTCCCCTACTTAAGACAAAGAGCCTACCTTGCAGGCCGGGGCCAGGCCCAGCCCTGCGCTTAGGTGCGCTGCATCTGACCGGATTCGGTCGGGCTCGTCGCTGAGGGCTGCGCCCAAGGAAGGGGCTTGGAAATCCAGATGTACCTTCCCGTGTTTTTACGGGAGGTACATTCCATCTGTCTCATGCTATTGATGAAGGTAAAGCGAGGTAACCCGTGAGGCAGGAGGCTTACCTAGTCGGGGCGGGACGTACTCTCCATCGGTGCATCACGGTTGCTATCTTTGGGGGCAGGCTGGTAGTCGGGGTCAAACCCATTACGGGGCACGTTGCGCCGGTGACTTGCTTCCCACTCATAGCTGTTGTTCCTCCAAATCGAAGCAAACAAGCATAACGAGTAACTGGGTACGTTCAGGAAGAGGGGATGTGAGAGGCTGTAAACGAGGAAGAAGATTGGAAGAAAGAGGAACGGAGTAGAACAAAGAGGAGAAGGAGGTGAGGAGGGAGCGGGCTCTCACCTGCAGGAGGCGGAATGAGGCAGCAAGGGCGGCAATGTGGTCTGTGGGTGCAGTACGTAGCAAGCTGCGGCAGTCTGCAAGAAGGTTTTCAGTGGGCGGCCGACTGCTTCGTGAGTCGCTAGCGGTCCGGAGTTTGCGGCACGGCCAGGCGGTGCCTATACGGAATATTGTGGCGGGGGTGTTACTGATGCGTTCCGTTGCTAGCCTTGGCACTTCGTCTGTTCGCGGCTGAGCGACCGCGGCTAGACTCCTGTGGGATGCCACTGTACATTGCTGGCCAGGCGTTGTGAGCCGATGCGTACCATTGTATACACTGGGCCCTTGTTGTGTGTCACCGGGTTGTTAGGTGGCGCAACACTTTGGACTGTAGCTAGGGATTACTGTTGGACTTGCTGCTGCTCGCAGCGGCTGGGCACGCTGCGTAATTGCCAAGTCTCGTTGTCTGCTATCGACGATAAGAATAGGACACGGGGATGTGCTCTATTTGAATAGGACCTTCTCCAGCCTAAGGGGGGGATTGCTGCGATCTGGAGGGCCGTCAGGGGGCTCTGACTGCGGCGGGTTGACTATGGATTGACCAAGCTGGGCAGGATTGGCTACCATTGCGGGGCCCTCAGGCGAATCAAGGAATCAAGGTCCTCTCCTGCGAGTCTGAGAGCACCCTCCTTGGATCTGAGAGTCTAATGCCCTCTATTTTTGCCTTCCTCATTCTAAGTCTAGTCCATTGGTTCTGAGAGGAAGGCGGCAGGTGGGATTGCAACCCGTAATCCGCGCCAAGGCCTTTGTGGGAGGTTGCCCCACCGATTGCGGGAGCTCTGCCGGAGCCTAGGCGAGGTTCTGGAGGCAGAGAACTGAAAGGTAACCATTCCCTTCCCACTATACACCCTATTATATCCCCTATTTGTACATCCCCCTATGTTTGACTAAGTATACTGTATGCACCCCTATCTTGACTTTGGATTGACTGGCAGGACACAAGTCAGACTAAATAAAGAAATGCGTGTGCAATCGCAGTCTCAGCTTGTTGATTGCCTGAAGGCAGATTGTGAACACAAAGGGTTGCATCTCGGGGAAGGGTGGGTGAAAGGTGGTTTTGCTTGAGCATGAATGAGTCCTATGGGGTCAGACCAGTTCCATAAGATTGGACGGACTGACCGCTGTGTTTATTTCTGAATTGCGTGGAGAGTCAGACCAACTCCATAAGATTGGACAGCCTGATTGCTCTGAATTGTGAGGGTTTGACTGTGGCTGACTTTTTAGGGGTCAAACCTGTACCATAAGATTGGAGGGTTTGGTTGTCATGTTTGATTGGGGTTTGTTGTGTTTCTTTTGTTTCCGATCGAGGAGGTCTGAGCAAGTCCATAAGATTGGACGGCTCAGCCCCCCCCTCTTTGTTTTTATTCTGAGAGGATAATTCTTGTTGAGGGCAGGGCATGTACATAAGATTGGACGGCCCTGGACTCATGCCGTACACAGTGGATCAGAGAGCAACGAACCTGGCAGAGGACCAGATATGTTCCATAAGATTGGACGGTCTGGCCCAAAGCCTCGCACATGTTGGAACCCAAAGGTTATAATTTTGGCTATATTTTATACTATCCTATTTATGAACAGGCTAGTCAGGCATGGGTTCCATAAGATTGGACGGCCTGGCTATAGCTTATCATAAAATGAAGAGAGTATAACTAAGAGTATAATTGAAGGTAACCCTGGGCAGGCCAGGTCTTGTTCTAAGATGAACGGCTCAGTCTTATGCCCAATGTTTGAACATTAAGTTCAGAGAGGTATATATAAGTTGGATATTAAACAGTTCAGGGTGACTAAGCCTTGTTTTAAGATGATGGCCTAGTCATATGCCCAAAAGGAAGAAAGGAGTAGTTGTGCAACCTGTTCGTGTATATTCAATGGTTGAGTCAGGCAAGTTCCATAAGATTGGACGGCTTGACTTTATGTCATATGTAAGTTGGGTATAAGGGAATAAAGCATCGGGAGATTACGAACTATTGTTTGCAAAGTTGACTTGGGGTGGCGAGAGTACTTACCTTTGTGGGTTGGCCTGCATGAGGTTGAGTGACGCTACTACTTGGTTTGAGTGTCAGATTGACAGGTAGTTGCTTTAGAGGCTCGACTCGTGCTAAAGCGATAGGAGTTAGGTCGATTCCTGCATTTTCTGGACTAAGTTTTTTTTACTTAGATCGATTCTTGCATTTTCTGGGATCTTTTATTGTACTTGGCTTTGTATAAATTCTGGTAACCTACTTTCTCTACGGGAAGCGCTGCCGAAATTTTTGCAAATCCAAGGAGTTAGTCAAATTTTGACTTGTCAAAGTTCAACTTGTCTAAAGTTTATATATGACTTAGTAAAAATCTGGAAAGTCTCCTCTTCTAAAGGAAGTGTTGCCCAAATTTTTGTTAATTCAGGGAGTTAGACAAAATTGGACTTTGAAAAGTCAAAGACTTTCTGTTTTCATATTCGGGCTGATATAAATTCTGAAAAGACACTTTTCCTACGGGAAGCGCTACCGAAATTTTCTTGATTTAGAGGAGATAGATTATATTTTGACAGGTGGCGACTCTGGCAATCCACCCTGAATAGGGGAGATTCAGCCATTAGTCTGCCTTGCTTTGGACACTAGCTTAGAGGTAGATTCAGACTTAGTCAAGTAGGATGATTTGAGGGATATCGTGATTATCCTCCAAGGACTTACAAATTTAGCTTGGGGATTGGTCTGCCATGTGTTACAGGTCGTCTGAGTCGATTGATTCAGGACTTGTACTAGATTCAGCTTGATCCTACGAGGATCATTTTCTGTTATCACTGATAACATGTCGGTTGTCGATTCGTCGGTCTACGACTCAATTCCAACTCACTCGTCACACCCAACCTAAAAGGCTTTAACCCTGGTGACTTTATTGTTTGTTGAGGGTTTCACCCGAACTTTTATTTAATGGTCATTTAACCAAGGTACTGAGTATTTAATTATGGTTGGATGGGCGGGAGATTGGGGCTTGCATGGCTAAAGCAAGGGGTATGAGTGTGGAGATTGGTTGGGGTTGACTCCGTGTAGTGCGTGGTTGCTGCTCGATTCTTTGATGTGATTGCAGGTAGACCTTGTGGCTCGGATTTGGATTTGGGGTTGCCTGCGATCTCATATACGTACTTATGGTTGTAAGAAGTCCCACAGTGCCTGTGAGCAGTGGTCGTCGCAACTTTATCTCTCCTATGTGTGTATGCTTGGGTGTATTTACTGTGGGAGTTTGCGAGGCTGGGGCCGCGATTACCACATATGACAGGCATCGTTGGTCGGTATGGGACTGGCCAGGAGCCGAGCGACCTTATGTAGAAATCCTGCGTGCAATACTTCGCCGCCCCAACGCCAAGAGGTTATGGGATCGGGAGGCTTGCACGTAGACGCAAACGCTTGAGGTCATTGTAGTTCGTGGGCATCACCCAAGGAGAGAGAGGGTACCCCCAAAAGATCATGACCCTGGCTGGAATAAGAGGGGGTCATCGGCCCATTCGCCTGCTTTTTAGGGTTTTTATGGTTGGACGTTGTAGTCCGTGGCAGCCGTCAAAGTCAAACCCCTTGATGTTTGACCGCCACGACAGCTTAAAGTTGTCTACTCAACCCCTCTGCACAGGGTGCAGAAGAGGGTGTGGTTTTCAACCGCGCATGGCGGTTGTCTAGCGCCGAGAGATTAACCCTCAAGGCGCGTGTCAGCCGACACTTGAGTGTCGAACGCGACCCTCGAGATTAACGAGGACCGCACGAGTATGGGTACTACATGGTACGCCATCATTGCGACTGCTTGTGTACGTTTGCATTGCGAGTCGATATGAGTTAGCCCTGCGTCCGCTCGGCTTTATACTAAGTCGCGTGCGCGACGCCTATCCGATTTCCGGGTCAGAAAGTTATGGGATGGTTACCGAGGGGCTAGGAGCGTTGTCGCGTTGTTTGTGTCATAACGTTTCGTGTGCGTGTGTGTGCGTTTTATTTTTGTGTTCGTAGAGTGGTGTGCGCGTGGTGTGTGGGATGCGTCCTAGTCGACCGACGACAAGCCGCGCCTGGGACCTCAGCCCCCCCAGATGTCGGTTCGCTTGCGGGTCCGATAGGCGTATTACCGCGCGTACCCCCTATGCTACAGCGAACGAGAAACGCCCTCGGCTGGTCCACCTCTGCGATTGCAACTGATTAACTTTTGTACTGTGGACTGGTAGCTCGGCGGGGATACGCCCACCGAAGGGAGGTGACTGCTCCCGTAAGGTGGAGGTAAGTTGTGCCTCGAGTAGGCCCTATCCTGTCATAGGGGGTCGCGAGAGGTATGGCTGGCGCACTCGGCCGGAGCGGCCTAAGGAAGCTCTATTTGCGCGTTCGTGACGAGGTTGGTCCAACTCCTGCGTGACACGGCCGAGAGGGTCCCGCGCTGTCGCGTGCGGTGCCGGACCGATGCGCTCGACATCGTTCTCATCCGGCTCGAGTAGGACCTCGTCGTCGAATGGTATGCCCGCCTCAAGCAACAGGTTGTGGATGATACAAACGGCCTGAAATTGCTGAGGCAGATTATCCATGTTCGTCTTGTGATGCCGGAGGAACAACCTCCACATCCCCTTCAAACGCCCAAAAGCCCTCTCCACGACTCCTCTCGTCGTCTTCTGTCGCGTGTCGAACAACTTGAAGTCGATGTCCCCTGCCTGGTCGGACCCTCCATAGGGGACCACCATCCACGTTCTTGGCAAGTGCCGTTGTCCCCAAGCAGGTACCCTGTTGTGAACACCCCCCCTGGCAGCAGAACAGGTTTCGCGACGAAGAGCTCGCCCGCCTCCGCACGTCAAAAGAGAGAAAAATTTCTCAAAACCCGCTGGTCGTGGACGCTCCCCGGGTAGCCCATGAACACATCAAGAATCCTCATGTCCAGGTCGACGACGACTTGGGCGACGACCGAGAACTACTGTTTCCGGTCGTAGTAGTTCTCCGACGGTGCATTGGCGGGCTTGTCTACGTACACGTGCGTGCAGTCGATTGCGCCGAAGCAATTAGGGAACCCCTTCACTCCGAATGCTCGGGTCACCTGCAGCAGCCGACGGCCGGTCGGCATGGTGACTTTGTCGGGATATGCAGCCAGTATTGCATTCGTGACGTCCATGACGGCCGTCACTCCGGACGACCTGCCGATGCCAAAGCTCGATGAAGCGCTCTCAAACGTCTCCCCGGTGGCCCATCGGTACAACGCGAAGGCGACGATAAGGTATGTTTGCAAGGGCTCGCGATAGTGCGTCAGTCTATGCTCGATGAAAGGACTGTAAGCCGCAACAATGTCGTTGAATATGGCCCTCGACATTCGTAGCTTGTCATGGAAATATTCCTCCGTCGCGTCGTCTGCAATGTCCAAGTCTCGCCACGTCCCGCCCGTTCGTCTTTTCATCCACCACCGCGGTGTGTCCCTCGACAGAACAGCACCAATAATTGCGTTGGACAACAGGAAAGGAGCGTTTGATAGACCGGACGATGTACAGGCGTTTGCCAACGCCTGGGCTATGGCGGCCTCCCTCCTCCCCCTTCTTCTCCCACCCGCCCGCCACAATCCCTTCATCGTCTCCATGTACCCGCACACTGCGAGGACAGCACTAGCGACCATGCTCTTCTCACTGGTTGACAATCTCCTCGTCGCTTGTGGAACGCGCCCACCGTTGTCCATAGTTGGACTACGTTGCGTACAAAAGGCACACGTCAGTGACACGCGAAGCCACGTGCGCACGCGCAATGGTGGATGACTGCCGCGTACACCACGGAGTCCAGAAACCGATGTAGTCGAAGCGAACCGGCGGGCGCGGAATTTGAATTCGAATGTTTGGTGTCCTCGCGCGCTTTAACTTTCACGGCCGAATGACGCGGCGCGCCCGCGACAGGGCCACGCCGCCCTTGGGGAAATGGCTGGCCTGGGTCTCCCACAAGCCCAAAGTTGGCGGACACAATTTTGTCCACTGCAACACTGGGTCGGACACTCGCATTCAATTCTTGGTTGCGAGGCTATCGGAGCGCTTTCGCCGACGCTAGTGTGCTCGGACCAAGAGTTTCGCGGTCGGTGACGACGGAGTGTCAGCTGGTGGTGGTACCATCGAGATATCCCCTAGGCAGTTTCTAGGCACCGTCACCTAGCTTTGTCCTAGGTCATGTCTGTAGTGAGAGGGCATCGAGGTTGCCTAGACTTGACACCTGGTATGCCTCGTCTAAGCGGTGATGGTGTGGAAGCTAAGTCATAGTTTTGACCGTGGGATAATTGTTACTATTGTTAATTAAGGCAATCCAGATTAGCGTGTGGCCTTTTTCTTTCTTTGCTTTTGGGAGATGGATACGGAGGTAATTATGGAAGGTGCGGCAGCTGCCGGCGAGAATGGCACTCAAGGGATACCACGGGATATTGGTGCTAGATCTCCTCCCCAGGTTCCTACTGGAGGGGATGATGATAGCACCCGTTTAAGAGAATTAATCAGGCTATGTTATTTGGACGGGGTGATGCCCACGGGCATCAACCCGGGTGAGATGACGATTGAAGGAAGAGACGCTCGATTCAAAGTTAATGTGGATTTAGATCAAGCGAAGATCAACTGGCCTAAGGAACACACGGTAACTTTTATTTTCATAGCTGGAGCAAGATTCCTTTCAAGGAAGGTCAAAGATGATATCGTTCGTGCTTATGAGGACAAGAAGACGGCGGACGACACTTTCGAGGCAATGGGCTTCAGTCGGGGTCGGGTGAAGGTTGAGAGTCCGAATGTCATTTCTTATGTGGCCCGCTCTAATGAGATTGCTAGGTGGCTTATCGAGAAAGGACAGGATGAAATAAGCCTTGGCTCCACGCAATATATTTTCGAGTTTAAACCTTGGATTACTAAAGCCCAGCTTCGTGCTCAACGATAACGGGAAGACGAGCAACATTTTTGGGTCGTAGCAGTTCAAGTACCACTTGATGCATTCTTATTCTTAGAAGCTCAAGTTAGCAAGGCCATTGGCCCGGTGGTCAAATCCTTTCCTCCAGAGCAAGACAGAATGCGGCCGACTTTGGTCAATATAAAATTTGAAATTGAAGCAGATGCACGGCCAAACATGAAGGATAGGATTTGGATCGATACTTCGGAAGGCGATACCCTCGAAGTTAAATTGGCCTCTGCCGAGACTCCGAGATGCCGTCGCTGTCGAGCTTTCTTCCACACGGAAGTGGAATGCAGGAGGAACAATCAACAACAGAACCAAGGCACCTCTGCATCTGGCTACAATGCTCAACCAGGCGGTGTGCAAGGTGCGGCATCTGCTCATTACCAAAGGCCTATAGGTCCGCTGCCTGAATCCTCCAGTTTCGGCGTTTCTTCAGGGGGTGCGACGTCAGTACCGCTTAACACTCCTCTAGGCAATACCCTGCAAGGCATCTCTCTGCACAACAATCCAATGTTCTCTCCAGGAAGTGCACCTCTTCAGCCATCTAGCTTACCGTTACAACATCCCTATCAGCAGATAGGGCAGTTTTTGAACCTCCCGATGGATATGCCATGGAGTGCGCCTCAATTTCAGGGAGTAATTCCACAACAACCAGGGTTCCTTCACCCTGCCACGTCAACATTCGGGCCGTTTGTGAGTCAACCTCCTCCTATCGGGGGAGTGGCAATGACCTTTTGTGAAGCAAGCCCCGTCATCAGGCCGATGACATCTTTGGCTATGCAACCCTCTGGTTTATTTCCAAGAGCCATCGTTACCCCTGCTGTTAGCGGAGCCGGGGGTGGTCCTTCGGAGACTAACTCTTTACGACCTCGCAGCAGTATGGCGGGTAAACAAAGTCGACTGGACCACCGTGACCAAGGAAGCTTTATCTCAGAAGGGGGCAACTTGGAAGGCGAACACTCGACTTCCTCCCAAGGTTCGGATGCAAATGACTCCGTTTTCGACACTCCGGGTACTAAGACTACCCGAAGACGCGTTCCGGTCTCAGTGGTCAAAGGGCAACTTCAAGACATAGAGAACAAGATCTTGCCCTTTTTCTACATGGCGGTTCGGAATGCTTTTTGGACCATCGCGTTCGAAAGTCCAGATGGATTGCCCGCCATGGTAAGTCTGTTGGCCCCTGAAACCCCGATGCCCTCTGCCATCGCTATTTTGATTCGTACTGCGATTAGGGACAAATTCGCTTTTCGATTGATCCCGGAGATGACGATGATTAGGATTCTTACGGACCATCCGGATCAGCGTGGGAAGAAGGTCAAGTTCTTCGTCCTTTTACTTGACGCCCGATTCTCAGACGGCCAATTAGAAGCTTTGGAATCCCAAGGGTTGCGCCTAATCCCTATATCATGGTTTGTTGAACGAAAACGTCAAGAACTTTGTCGAATTTGAATCCCCCCTCTGAGATCTGCAAAATGCCTGCTGGATTTAAAATCCAAACTTCCGAAGGAAAGAAAATTGAATTCAAATTTTGTTCGTACGGCCTTGACTTCTGCATGGCATCCAGAGCAGATGCCGACTCCCCTTATCCAACAAAATGGGGGGGGACGACCTACGCATGTCTAAGTTCAAAGTGCTGAGTTGGAACCTTAGAGGCTTGGGGGATCGTTTTAAGAAAGACAGGTTAAAATCTCTGATCCACGAGATGAAGATCTTTATCGCTTGCTTACAAGAAACTAAACTAAATGAGGAAAAAGTAAATAACGTAGGTCGTTGATGGGATGGCCGACAAGCTTGGTCCCCGACGATTGGATCCAGGGGGGGTGTGGGCATCCTTATCCACCATAACTTCGGCGCCGAAATTATTGACTTTTTTATTGACCTGTGGGGGAGATGGGCGTGGGTGAAGTTATTAGTACAAGGAAAATATTGGATCATCGCCTCCATCTACGTCCCCTTAGATCCTCGCAAACGATCTTCTTTCTTTGACGAACTTCTTTTTGTTCTCCCTGAAGGAGACTATACTACTCTAGCCGAAGACTGGAACTCCTCACTTGATATAAGTCCAACCAATCAGGGAGCGAGCGGCAAGTGCCCCTGATAAGTATTCTCTCACCAATTTGATGAGGGTCTTGGATCTGATTGACCCGTTTCGGCTCTTACATCCCGATAGGGAAATGTTCACTTGGTTTTCTAACCCGAGAGAGGATGTGGGGATTATTCGTCGCAGTCTAGATTATTTCTTAACTTCAGGGAACCTGTGGAAAGTTGTCATCGACATTACTGAACGATCTAACCCATTGTCAGATCATAAAGTAGTATTCCTCTCAGTTCTCACCTCGGAACCTACCAGAGGCCCGGGACTTTTCCGCCTAAATACCCAGAACCTTCAAGATGAGGGTCTGGTATCCTAGATGCAGAAGTTTTGGACCAGCTGGCAGTCTACTAAGGAACGGTACTCAAATCTCTTAGATTGGTGGGATTCAGGGGTTACAATCTTCTCGAACCTACTGTCCGTTTTCTCGAAAATCTTGGCCTTTCAGAGAAGCTATGAGGAAGCGGAATTACGAAAGAAAATTGAGTATTCCGAATTATTGAGAATGTCGGAACATCCAATTTCAAACCCGGTCTGGGGAAAAGAGAGAGCAAAACTATTGTCTGAATGGGATGACATCCAAAAAAAGAAGGCTGAGATCTGGGCAGAACGCCCACAGGTCAAAGGCATTACGGTCTATGCCCGTATGACAAAGGAGTTTTTTCAGCGGCTCCTACCAAGACGATCTTCAGTCCCTATGAGGGAACTGTATCACCCCTTCGATGACAATGCTGCGCTGGCCAAAGATCCCCCCCAGTTGTGTAATTATGTCAGGCTATACTATCAGGACATTCTCACGTCTCGACTACAGGGAGTTAACATTGAGACGTCCCTTCACACGGAGTTTACTCACCGGTTGAACACCACTGTCCGCCTCCCCACTGTAGGTCGTTTAAACTTGGACAGACCGATTACCACCTCATAAGTTTTTGAAGCCCTGAAGGCTATGGCAAAGAGGAAAGCCCCTGGAGACGATGGTTTGCCTGTTGAACTGTATTTAACGATTTGGAACGAGATTGGACCTAAGTTGGTGGAGATTTATAATAACCTGCTGACTGGCAACAACCTACCTACGAGTATGCGCAGAGGAATAATCTCTGTCCTGTTTAAAAAGGGGAACAAAGCTGAGATTCGTAAATGGAGACTGATATCAGTTTTGAACGTCTCCTACAAGCTTTTGGCTAAGTTGTTGGCCATAAGGCTGAGTCGCTACCTACCTGCACTGGTGGCATCAGATCAAGCAGCATTCATTAAAGGTCGGTCTAGCTTCACCAATATCGTGACTGCTGTAGAAACACTGAAAATAATCAATAGTAAGGATTTGAACTTTGCAGTCCTTCTATTAGATTTGGAAAAAGCCTACGACCATGTGAACTGGTCGTATGTGCTTACTACACTTAACGTTATGGGCTTCGGTCATTGCTTCTCTACATGGGTCATTACCATGTATACCTTGTCTACAGCAGCGGTTATGGTTAACGGTAGACTGTCAGAGGAATTCTCCCTGACAAGATCCCTACGACAAGGCTGCCCTCTGGTTCCTTTGTTGTTTGCTATCCAAATGGAAGGTCTCCTGAACAATATAAAAGATAACCCCCAGATCTCTGGGTTCCCGATCGGTTCCATGTCCTACAAGGTCAAAGCGTTGGTTGATGACCTCTTTGCAGTTACCAAGAACGACCCCCTCTCCCTTAACGCTCTGAAGCAGTGTCTGGACGAGTACTCAGTCCTTTCCGAAGCTGCTGTAAACTGGC